TATCATATATTCAGAGGGTGAAGACAGAGGGCCGGCAGCGAGGATGGGCCCTAACCCCGGCACGGTGTTTGTACCGGGAGGAGGGTGCAGAAAAGCGGCAAATCCTCAGCACCACCCATAGAGAGAGAGAGAGAGAGACAAGGTTATCAGTAATCAGCGGGGTGATCCAGGTCAGACGCAGCTTCAAGGTGGGGGCGGTCAAACCGCAGCCTCATCTGTTTACCCCCGGGAATAGTGAGGGCTATTTATGTCTGTCTGCCCCTTTCGGGATGGGGTGTAGGGCGGCTCTTTTGTGTCTCCCTGCAAACCATGTGCTGAGGGCGCCGCCATTTTGTGACGGAAGCGGAAGTGTTCGCGTCGCCTCATTTCCGGTGACGTTTAACTGAACATTTCCTCCATAAGATTCTGTCGTAATTTACTCCCACCCGCTGTGTGAGGGGCAGTTTGTCAATTTGCCCACCCAGTCTGCTCTTCCCCCCAAATAAATAACTGTAGCTGACCTCCCTGTTTTTCAAGCAAAGTGGAATGGCTTGTTCATACGTACTGGCCATCTCATTGTCAATGTAATTGACAACTGGCTACTAACTGCTGTTTCTCATTTCTGCCTAGTTTTATGATCCTTTTTGCGTTTTGTGCTGACTAATCTGAATTGTGATTTTTTTTTTTGGGTATGTCCGTTGGATGTTTACTGCATTTATAATGTGGAGACAGGGTTTTGCTGGCATCAAAGTATACCCATTCCACGGGTTTAGGGTTGTTTTCAACTGACTGGTACCAAGAGCATTGTTTTTACGTGATAGTACTGCACTCTGATTTGTGCTTCTTTTCTAGTTTGCTTTAAAGTTCACAGATTTTGAAATTTGGAAAGTGTTCTCAGTTCATTTAGTTACAAAGACCCTGGGCCAGTGAAATATGAGCTTCTGGTGTAGAATCAACCACAGTTCTACAGAAGCTCAGCAGAGGTATGAGAAGACGGTTTTGAATGGAATGTTTTGAGCATTGTATTCTGTTTTTCACCCAGATGCCTGAAGAAATTCGCGCCACTGACGATGAGGTGGAAACCTTTGCCTTTCAGGCTGAGATTGCTCAGCTTATGTCCTTGATCATTAACACCTTCTATTCCAACAAAGAAATCTTCCTCCGAGAACTCATCTCCAATGCTTCTGATGTGAGTTTCTTCACACATTTGCTGTTTCCTGTTTCGTTCTGAATTCCCGACAGAATGTCTTTGTCCTAGGAAGGAGGCTTTTCATCCCATTGTGTCCACGTCATTCTCTCCAGCTCCCTGCTACTCTGCAATTGTCTTTCTCTTTGAATGATGGTGTAATTCCCTTTTTGACAGTGATGACTGAATCTGCCTCCACCACAATCGAAGTGCCTTTCAAATCCTAATCTTAGTTGCCTGTTGCTACATGTTAAGTCTGACTCATCATAGTTTGTTACTATATATTTTCTATATTCCTCTATAAGTCTGGAACTGTGAAACTGTGTTGCCTTTGGTCTTCATATTGTATTTGCTATCCTCTAGTTTTTAGAAATGACTTGCATTTTAGATCGAGTGATGTAACTCGTTTTAACTCCCTTCACAGGTTGCTTTTAAGATCTCGCTATGCCAACAAGCTGGCTTATGCTTTGTTAAGTTAACTTATATTCTCTCTAGTCTCTCACTTCTGTTCAACTTTGTCTCTCCAAAACTGCATAACTATTACCAATGGCGTAGTGGTTAATGCCATTAGACTCTAGCAGTCCCGAGGCCCTGTTCTGGAGATGGTGGCTTTGAATCCCACCATGGCAAAAAGTTAACTTTGAATTCTGTAAAATCTGGAATTAAAAGCTGGCTTAATGGTATCCATGTAACTACTTGATTGCCATTTAATTGTGTCCATTAAGGTAGGAAATCTGCCATCCTTACTTGATCTGGCCTACCTGGGGTTATCTGCTAACTATCCCCTGAAATGAACCAGCAAGCCACTTGGTATCATACTGCTACAAAATCTAAAAGGAATGAAATTAGACGGACCACCTGCAATCAACATTGACATTCGAAACAGTGGCAACAGCCTGATGTAGATACAATTGCAAATCGTGCATGTCCCATACACTCCTGTCACTGTCCCCAGACCCTCAGTTGTCAGTATTCCACAAATTTCATTCACTTGACGTCTAAAAAAAACTTGCAATATCTAACATCTTCAGCCTGTGACAACATTCTGGCAATAGGAGTAGGCTATTCCACCCATTGAGCCTGTTCCCCATTCAGTACAATCATGGTTCTACCCGCACTATCCCCATAATCCTTTGTGCCTTTGGTAATCAAAAAAACTTGTCGACTGTATTTTAGACATACTCAAAATACATTTCCACAACTCTCTGGAGTGGAGAATTCCTAAGATTCACCACCCTGTAATTTTTTTGAAAGAAAATATGTCCATTTGGGATCTAAATGGCAACCCCCTTGTAAGTTTTAATGAGATTGTCCCTCTTTCTGTTACCTTCTAGAGAATACAGGCCCAGTTGGCCAACCTCCTGTCATATGTTCCTGCCATTCTGGGAACAAGGCTGATGAGCCTTTGTTGCACTCTCTCGATGGCAATGGTATATTTCCTGAGCTAACAGAGCAAAACTGCACATAATTGTGTAAGTGTGGTTGAGTTTTAACTGCCCTCTGGACAGTTAGGAACAGCAATAAATGATGACCTAGCCGGCATTGATAACATTCAGTTAATAACTTTTTTCTTTATAAAAGGTGCAATCTAACCAAGCCCCTATACAATGGAAGCAAGGTTTCGCACCTGTTCTTGAATCCTCTTGCAATAAAGGCTAATGTTCCATTAGTCTTGCTAGTAACATGCTGAACCTGCTCTGCCTTTTCAGTATGATCCTCAAAAGCCATCAGTGTTTTGGCCTCAACTGCTGTCTCTGGCAGAGAATTCCATAAGCGCACCACTGTGGTTGAAGAAATGTATCCGCATCTCCATTCTAAATGGCCTACTCAGTCTCCGGAGACTGTGACCCCAGGTCTGGCTTGCTGTTCGTGGGATAACCACAGGAAGGGTTTTGCCAGCCTAGTCTCTTCAGAATTTTGCAGGTTCCTATGCGATTCCCAACCCCCATTCTGCTAAACTCCAGTGAATATAGCCCTACCCGATCCAGTCTGTCTTCACATTTCTCCCATCTGTGGCCTGCTTTCTGTACCATCCATTTGTATCGGGGGGCGGGGGTTATGATCTTATTCTTTCTGCGCTGTACACCAATTAACCCATCAGACTTGACCTGGAGCTTAGCATCCTGTCCTCCACCGTTGGTAGGCTCGAGCATATCCCAAATTTGTCATGACTCATTTGCCATTGTTCTCCTATTTGCACAATTCTCAGTTGCCTTTATTGACTATTGTTCCCTGATTCCAGATCTGTGACCGTTCACTATAAAAGTATTGTGAGGCAGCCTTTAGAGTGGATCTCAGAAATTCTGCCCCAAAAGTACTTGACTCTAACCTTTTTGAAGGTTGCTTTAGGAAGAGGGGTTTAGAGGAGCTGCTTCTTTTCATATAAAAGGTTTTGAAGTGTTCCATCATTTCAGGAGAGCTCCAAGTATTGACAAATATATGTAAATTGCCACCTGATGTCTGTTGTTTAATTTTGATACCTGATTTATGGTTGCATTTTAATTCATAGGCTCTGGATAAGATCCGATATGAAAGCTTGACTGATCCTTCAAAATTGGAGAGTGGCAAGGATCTGAAGATTGAAATCATCCCCAATCAGCATGACCATACTCTCACCATCATTGATACTGGGATTGGAATGACAAAGGCTGACCTGATCAACAACTTGGGCACGATTGCCAAGTCTGGTACCAAGGCTTTCATGGAAGCTCTGCAGGCTGGTGCAGATATTTCAATGATTGGCCAGTTTGGTGTTGGCTTCTATTCTGCCTACCTGGTTGCTGACAAGGTTACTGTCCTTACTAAGCACAATGATGATGAGGCATATGCCTGGGAATCATCAGCTGGTGGCTCCTTCACAGTCAAAACCTATACTGGTAAGTCATGAGTGGGGAGCCTAGTGACCATTGCCATTCAGAGGGAGAGCAGGCCAGGTTATTTTCTAATGGAAATTGAGATATAGCCTGTAACTCTGAAAGGGTGCAAGATAGTGCTGATCCCAATCGAAACAGTTGTTGGTCTGACTTCATTGGTTACAAGACAGCTTTCCTGTTCTGCTTGATGTTGGAAATGGGCTGTAATTTATTCTCCGTTTTACGTGCACCCCCCCCCCCCCCCAAACACTGGAAGATGCACCACAGGCATTTTGAATGTTACCTGAGTCGTACTGCAGTGCAAGAATCAACTCTTTGGGGTAAATAAACTAGTTCAAAAGCATGTATGACCATAAATTAGGTGCAAGGTTTTTTTAAACTGTCCCTTCTGTGTCAACTTGGCTCATTAGTAACACTGCATTGAGTGTTCAGAATATATAACTACATGACCACAAGTAGTAGGACTAGGAGTAATCTATTTCCTTCCCAAATAATAGTTACTGATGTATTTTAGCTGCACTTTTGCTGCCTGCTGCTCATATCCTTCAAATCCCTGGGAGATCAAAATCTGTCATTCGTGGTCTTGAATATACTTCATTATGGAGAACTCGTGTCAATCCTCACAGATTGTATTGGTGTTTTATAGCTGCACGTGTAGTGTGGTGGTTATGGTGAAAGAGTAACTTTATCCTTTAGCACATCATTGAATGAGCTGAAAGGCTTTGGATGCAAAAGAATGTTACTCAGATCTGCATTTTGCAAAGCTGGATTTTGAGGTTTGTTTTGAAATCTCAGGTGTGCTGTGGAGAATCTAGATTCAATGCAAGAAGAAAAAAAAAAATTTGGAGGTGATCTCCAAGTGGTCTGTGATTAAAGAGAATTTTTAAAAAAAAAAGTCAGTTACAGGACTAGTCTTTGGGTGGAGTGTGTAGCATTTGTGATTTTGAACACGCAGCTCCAGCATAGTGTTGCTGACGGGTGAAATCCCTTTTGATCTTATGCATTTTCCTTTAGCCTTATGTTCTGTACTGGGTGCTGATCAAGTCTAATGAAAACAGTATTCTATTAAATCTTTATTTTTTAATAACTTAGTCAATACACTTCATGGTGGTTAAACACAGTAAGTGCTACATAGGTTAACAAAATCTATTTTAACTTCCAGCTAATAAGCTTATCACTTTGATTCCTGCTGTCAGTTCAGTGGCACAGCACCAAGATGACAGCAGAGTAGCAGGGCTGCATGTGGGCTCTTGCCCAACACTCATCCACTCCCACTTGCTTTCTTTTTACTGTATTTTTTCTAATACAGTTTTGCCTTCATTTTACAGCATTAAAATATGAGAAGGTTAAGCTCATTCTTCAGTTTTTTGGGGCAGGGTAAGAAATTGAAATTGCCAGTGTGCTAATTTCCAAGCAATAACTGGATCATGAGGCATTGAGCAAAGTGATCCCAACTGCTATCTTAGTTGTTAGGGTTGTGTTCAGGACAAAAAAAAATCCATGCATATTTACAAGGTCCCCATTTCAGCATAGCCATTACTGAAGTATGCTAAAATATACAGTGGAGTACAATCAGTTTGTTATAGTGACAGTAACTCTGCCATTAAAACTAGAAATCATCATGTCTACATTTGTGTCTGTAAAGATCACTTAATGCATGAAGGAATCTGCAGTTCACTTGGCAAAAGTCACTTATTCCATGATCTGTGGTCCTACTGTAATGTATTTTGTGCTGGCTGCAGCAAAAACATGGTCTGGATCTCAGCTTATAGTTGAATGACACTACCATAAAGGACTTGGAAGCTTTGGAGAGAGTACAGAGAATGTTCACCAGGATTTTGCCAGTTGAGGGCATTGCCTGAGGAAAGGTTAAAAAGACTAAGATTGTTTTCAACCAGAAAGACAGTGACTGAGGGGAGACCTGGTAGACATCTATAAAAATGGATAGGCGTGGATAGGTGGAGGCTTTTCCCCCCTGGGTTGAAGTTTCAATTATAAAGGAGGCACAGGTTCAAAATGAGAGGAAAGAAACTTAGGGAGATGTCAGGAAATTTTTCATGTAGAGTGTGGTAGGAGCCTGAAATGCACTGCCATAAGTAGTGGTGGAAACACTGCATGGGGCAGAAGGCTTGGTTTGTTTTTTGTTTAGTTAGGGCATAATGATTGGTACAGGCTTGGGGCTGAAGGACCTGTTCCTGTGCTGTACTTTTGTTCTTTTGGCACTAAGCAGGAAAAAAAAAACACAACTATGTATCCAGGTTTTTGCTACTGATTGAAGCTTGGGAAATGGGATGACTGAATAGAGTAATTTTGGATTTAATTCACTAGCTCTGAAGTGGGAGAGAGTCTAACATTAAAGATATCTGGAAATTATATTTCCAGATTATGGCTGGGATCATGCATGATAAAATCCAATAGTGGCTCTTGCAGTGTGAATTTTCCCTCCTGTGCAGTCTGGAAGCACTTCAGATTTCCTAGTGCAAGACTATTGTTGTAGCAGGTCATTGGGAATGTTTACCATGGGCTGTGTGTTGCAGGTTGCTGTGTTTGAGCTGTTGGAGTCTCTCATTGAAGTAATCTTCCAGAGTCTTGTCATGGAATTGTCCTGTGTTTCCATTGGAGTTTAGAAGTGTGCGATCGCCAGCCAATCCTGCAATGCTTTGGAATTGGAGACTCCATTGAACAAGGGATTGAATGGCTACTCTGTTCTCAGATTTTGGGGATGTGTTTTTCTTCCAGCTGGAAGTGTTGAGAGCTGGGCTGGAATGAAGTCTTCCTGGTAAACACCTTGCAGACTGCAGTTAATAGAATTAGGTCAGAATTAGTTAGCATGTCTTAATATTTCTGAAATGGAGTCTTGGTGTTGAAGCTGCAAAGATTTCTAAAGTGGTAGCAGGAACAGAACAACCAGATCACTGGAATTTTCTTGCATATTTACAGTATCAAATTACATGCCAGAACTCATGCTATTGTTCATCAACTGTAGCAGTCAGTGGGAGAGACTAGGTTACAGACAGACAATATTGTACATTAAGACAGAGTGGAACATTTTAGTCTAGCGACACTGGGGAAGGTAAAACTTAAGTTAAACTACTGGAGGTGGCAGACAGTCATTAAACATCAGTATTAGAAAGGTGTTTGACTATGCTGTGCAAGTTGCAATAAAACTGAACTGAAGCAGCTGCAATCTTCTGCAAAGCCTGCAGAACATTCAGGCTTGGGCTTTGCTTCTGGTGGCATGTGCCTGAAAATGACTTTACTTATTCATGGGATAAGGGTGGCGCTGGCTATTCCAGCATTTATTGCTGGTCACTGGGCAGTTAGGAGGCAACCACATTGCTGTTCATCTGGAGTCAAGATATAGGAGCAGAAATTAGACCATTCAGCCCATAGTCTGCTCTGCCATTTAATCATGGCTGATAAGTTTCTCAACCCCATTCTCCCCTTAACAATCAAGGGCTTATCTATCTCAGTCTTAAATATACTGAATGACCTGGCCTCCACAGCCTTCTGTGGCAGTGAATTCCAAAGATTCACCACTCTGGCTAAAGAAATTTCTCCTTATCTGTTCTAAAGAGGTTTTCCCTTTACTCTAAAGCTATGCCTTCAGGTCCTAGTCTCTCCTACCAAACTGTCCAGGCCATTTAGTATTCTGAGTTTCAATTAGATTCCCCCTCATCCTTCTAAACTCCATTGAGTATAGACCCAGGGTCCTCAAACATTCCTTGTTTTAAGCTCTTCATTCCTGGGACCATTCTTCTGAACCTCCTCTGAAGCCGCTCCAGGGCCAGTAGGTCTTTCCTTAGATATGGGGCCTGAAACTTGCCACAATACTCCAAATGTGGCCTGACCAGAACCTTAGAAGTCCATCCCTGCTTTTATATTCTCAAAAGAAATTCCAACATTGCATTTTTCCTTTTAAACTACTGACTCAACCTGCAAGTTTACCAAGAGAATTCTGGACTGGAACATCCAAATCTCTGCATTTCAGAATTTTCTCCCCATTTAGAAGCTAGCCCATGTTTCTGTTCTTCTTAGAGTGCATGACCTCACTTTCTCCACATTGTATTCAATCTGCAACTTCTTTGCCCACTCAACTAACCTGTCCAAATATTACTTCAGCCTCCCGACATCTTGAGTACTACCTGTCTTTGTATTGTCTGCAGACTTAACCAGAATGCCCGCAGTTCCTTCATCTAGAAGAATACAAGTTGTGGTCCACAGGAGTCAGTGTTGGGAACACCTCTTGTCACCAGCTGCTATCCTGAGAAAGCAGCTTTTAACCCCACTCAGCTTTCTGCCAGAAAGAAAGCTCTGCTATCCATGCTAGTATCTTGCCTCCAGCACCATGGACCCTTATCTTACTCAGCAGCCTCCTGTGCAGCACCGTGTTGAAGGCCTTCTTAAAGTCCTGGTAGATAACATCTGTTGGCTCTCCTTGGTCTAACCTGCTTATTTCCTGAAAAATTTCTAACATGTATGAGCTCCCCTTGAAGCTGTGCTGACTTTGCACTGTTTTACCATGTGGGCCAGACTAGGTAAGGCTGGTAGTTTCCTTCCCTAAAGGAAAGGAGTGAACCAGATGAATCTCCTCTCCACCCCCACACACAAACTTTACTTGGCCAAGCCAGTAGAATGAACCTAATCACTTAGTTGTGCTGTCATTTAAACTAAGGTCAGACACAGTTACCTAACCAAGTGCAACAGTGCACATGAGAGCTCATTTCAGAAGCCAATCTCAGGCATTCCAGATAGCTGCACACTAGAGCACAGGAACAAGCCCTTCAGGCTATCATCTCTGCACCAATTAGGACACTTAACTAATCCCATATGCCTGCACTTGGGCTGGATCCCTTTATTTTCTGCCTATTCACTTGTCTGTCTAAAGGTCTCAGACTGTGCTATCATATCTGCATTAAAGAACATGCCTTGTTTATCTCCTTTAAGCTTGCCCTAAACAATCTAAGTTGTCCAACCTTTCCTTATAGGTAATGCACTCCAATCCAGGCAACATAATGCTAGAGCTCTTCTGCACTCTCACCAAAGCCTTCCCTATAGTGTGGCAACCAGAACTGGATAGTATTCTGTGTGTGGCTGAAGTTAAGAAAGGTGTTTTACACAGCTGCACCCTGGCATTGCTTTCTGGTGTTTCCTTACTTCAAGAGGAATTGTTCATTGGAAATTACTCCTCTTGTTAGATTCTAACCAGCATCTTTAAGGACTTTCAGCATTTTCTCCAAAAGCAAGCCAAGTCTGCAATATAGTTGTTGGAGGCAGTACAGAGGGTGTGTAGTTCTATAGAGTAAGTGAATAAAACATGAAACCTACCTTGAGGTCTTGGTAGCCTGGGTACTCAGGAATGCTGGGCATAGGATCTATGCTAATGCTGTTGGATCGTTGCCTTGCTGAAGTTCTCTGTGAGTATGTAGAAACAGACCCATTGTCTGTGCCACTCATGTTGAAAGCTTCTGTCCCTTGGAGCTAGTGTCTTTATCAATGCTATACTCAGCCTTGCCTTATATTGAAGATTTGTGGCAAGCACATGGTATTGCTAATCAGGAGCAGGTGCCTTAGCATGATAAACCTGTTTGATAATGGGATTAATTGCTGCTGTCCTGTTAGGTAGGAGATTTGACTGGGATTAAACTCTTAATCCTTTTAAGGCTCCCTAGCAGGTAGGGGGTTTCATTAAGTAAATGTCTGTCTGATGACACTGAATTGATCAGAATAGGCCATCTGTAGTGGGATTAACTCTGCATCTGCTGTCTCAAAAGTCTAAACATGAACAGGAAAATTTCAAATCTGTGTCAAACTGATATTGGCTGAGATTCAAAGTCTCATGGAGGCATACTTGAATGTTCATTTGTTCAGGCAGTATAACTCAGTGACACTATGATATTCTTTTCTCTTTTCTCACCACCTTTATACTTGGTACTCACTGGGGTTGGCAGGCTGGAGGTAGATTTACATTATTGATGTATTGCTACTGGCAGTGCAGCTGTTGTTTTCCATTGTATAATCCCAAAGTGTTTAATGCTGTTACTTTGCAGCAAGCTTCTGTAACTTAATTTAGCAGCTTTGGATCAGATCAGAAATGAGGCTGCTGGTCGACATGCTTTCTGCTTTCACGTGGCATATTCCTCTTGGCTTTTACGTTGGCAGTAAGTTCAGCAGCCACCAACGTGTGTATTGCATTCTCCAGCCAATCGACTTAAAGCCTGATGGAGCATTGTTCTGGCTGAATATTAGCAGCTTTCATACAAATGCATTCTGTTGAAATTGAGAGCGTTCCTGAGCAGTTTTGTGCAGTGGTTTGTATTGAAATCCTGCCTGCGGGGGAGATGTTTCAAGTTCCTGGCTAGACAGTATATTTGTCATTCAATGAATGAAGGACTTTTACGGGTTACAAAAATGAACCACGTTTATTGAAGGGACACTACTTTGAAGTGGTTGAGTCAGCCTCCCCTTGACCAGGCATGTTCTGTTTGAATCCTGTTTCGTTTGTTTGTTTATTTTCCTGCTGTTTTTAATATTTTAGTCAGTCTGGAAAATCATACACTGTTTCATGAAATGGCAGTGTTCTTTGATAGTGACTGTTAGACAAAAAAACAGATTGGGGATCTTGGTTTGGGATAAATCTAATCAGTCAGTTATTGCACATTGGAACACTTTAAACCAGTACCTTCAGTATTACGTATTCTTTAACCAGCATTGTTAGCTAATCTTGGCAGTAAGGATCTCCAGGATACACAATGCTGGCTGTTGAGTGGTCAGGTGTTTGACTAAACCTGTCTCTGGATACTGGAGTGACTTTTAGCTTTGAACTCATGTTGCCGAGACCAGTCACCCAGATTCCTCCTCAGTCAGGATTAAGGTGGGCACAAATAAAAACAGACCCGAAATGTTAACTCTGATTTTTTTTCCTCACAGATGCTGCTAGACCTGCTGAGCTTTCCCAGCAACTTCTGTTTTTATTTCTGATTTACAGCATCCGCAGTTCTTTCGGTTTTTAAAGTGCATACGGTTACTAAATAGATGGTGCTGACATTGCTAGTAATATTGGTAGAGTGGCTGTCTCCTTTTTTTTAACATTGCTTAGATAATTGTGAAATTATGGCTCCTAGAACAGGCTGTTTAGGGACCTTTTATTTCCAGTTATTAATCCCTTTTATGTTCTTGCCTTCAGGAAAGGGTGATGGGGACAGTGCTACTGATGCAATCAGTCGTGGTACAAAGGTAGTTCTGCACCTGAAGGAAGATCAAACTGAGTATCTGGAGGAAAAGAGAATCAAGGAGATTGTGAAGAAACACTCTCAGTTCATCGGTTATCCCATCACACTCTTTGTAAGAACTGAAATGTTGATTCTCCTCTTTATTTAAATAATACCTGCTTTTATAAGTTTCCCTTCAAGGGATGGCATAGCCTGAGAAATAGTTAGGTTTTTATTATGGCATTGTCCTTAGTGGAGTTCAGGATGGATTTTACAGCTCTAGTAGTTGTATTGAAGCACTGGATCTTGGGGTGGGGGCGCAGAGACAGGGGTGAGAGAGAGAGAAAGAGATGATTAAGCCTAGGTTGCCTTGCACTGTCTCTAATGGTGATTTATTCTGAGAACACAAGAGACCTGGCTTATATGGTGCAGTCTTGAGACATTTGCTGACCGTGATCGCCTGTAGCACCAAACTTATTAGCTCATGATTATGACCATAGGTTGCATTTTGCTTTGCCCTGTTAAATGGTCACAACTTGATGTGGCTTTTGTGCCATTAGCTGCTTTAGGTTGTTTGTTTGCAAAAGTAGAGCAGGGATTGAGGCAAGTGGAAATGGCATTAAAGTGCTCAGTTTGTTGCAGTAAGTGGGATCTTCAATGTCTTCTAAGCGTCGCTGAAGTGGGAGGAATCCTTGAAAAAAAACAGAGGTTGCTGGAAAAGCTCAGCAGATCTGGCAGCATCTGTGAAGAAAAAACTCGAGTTAACATTTCTGGTCCGATTACTCTTCCTCAGAACAGTTGAGAGGAAGGGTTACCGGACCCAAAATGTTAACACTGATTTTTTTTCTTCATAGATGCTGCCAGACCTGTTGAGCTTTTCCAGCAACTTCTGTTTCTGATCCTGATTTACAGCATCTGCAGTTCTTTCGGTTTTTATGGAGAGGAATCCTTTTTGGTTGAAACAGGTATAGATTTTGCCTGGGTGCATGTTGCTTGTAGGTTTTTGGAAGAGGAATTGGTGGGCACTATTCAACTGATCCTATAATTTTTCTTCAGGTTGAGAAGGAACGGGAAAAGGAGATCAGTGATGATGAGGCAGAGACAGAGGAAAAGTCTGAGAAAGAGGAAGGTACAGATATGGACGAAGGCGAGAAGCCCAAAATTGAAGATGTCGGGTCTGATGAGGAAGAAGATGGTGAAAAGAAGGACACCAAGAAGACTAAGAAGATCAAAGAGAAGTATATAGATCAGGAGGAACTGAACAAAACAAAGCCCATTTGGACCCGTAATCCCGATGACATCACGCAGGAGGAGTATGGCGAGTTTTACAAGAGCCTTACTAATGATTGGGAGGATCATCTTGCTGTAAAGGTGAGTTGTTAATGGTCACTTCTACCAGATGCTAGTTATATTGTGGAAGTGAGCCAAAGAATAAATGCTAGGTGGAGAGTGACATCTGCGCAAGCAAGATTGCTTTAGTACCCTTCCGTGTAACTTTAATTCTGGGTCCCACTTTTCCTCACTCTTGTCTTATACCTAATTTACTTTTGCATTCAACTTCCCAGGACTTGAAATGTTCGTTTTAGAATGGCTCATTCCATGAATTATCAAAGGATCTTACTTTCTTCATTGACACCTTCCCAACCTGTGACTTCTGCCACCTAGAACATGGGAGCACTGCCACCTGTAGCTTCCCCTTCAAGCCACATTTTCTGATTTGAAAAGATATTTTGTTGTTCACTAATAATCTATTCCATAGAACATTTGAATATTCCCAAATCCCTGGGAATTGTCCTGTAATTATTTGCTTTTCAATAAGAAAGAGAAGATCGGTGAGATTTAATCTGATCTTTTTTTCCCCCCGCCTCTTTAGCATTTCTCTGTAGAGGGCCAGTTGGAATTCCGTGCCCTTTTGTTCATTCCCAGACGTGCCCCCTTTGATCTGTTTGAGAACAAGAAGAAGAAGAACAATATTAAACTCTATGTTCGCAGAGTCTTCATCATGGATAGCTGTGAGGAGCTGATCCCAGAGTACCTCAGTGAGTATCTATTAATCAGCATGGCCTTTGAGTTTTTGAGGTGACAGGAATTCTTTCACTGCATACTATCCATTAGGCTGTTGCATTGGCTGCTGGAAATACACTTCTGTTCTTGGGTTCTCTTGTGTTTTGGTATTCTGTAGCTGCCTTTTGTTTTACTTTCTGCTTCATTGGAATCTTGGGGTTTCTACATTGCACATGTACACTTCCAGTGCAGCGTATAGGCTCATTCTGTGTCCTACAATCAAACTGCTGCTCGTCAGAGAGGTATGGCGATAGTCCCACCAAATGTACTCTGCTTTTATTATTGTATCTAGTATGATGTGATAATTTTGAGAATAAGCTCCTGGATGAACCTTAGATGAAAGCTTCGCAGTCAACCCAGGATGCGACACTAAGGATAATTGGCAGTTCTGTTTGAGATTCTGGCTGGAGTTTTTTTCTTCTTTCTCTCTTAGTCCAGTGTTGGTTCTTCCAATTGATTTTAGAAAGAAGGTGGTGGGTATCTAGATCTGTCTGATCTGTCAAGTCATTGGAGAACATATTTTACATGAGCACTTGAAATGCCGTAGCATACAAAATTACGGACCCAGTGCTGGAAAATGGGCTTAGAATTTAAATAACGAGGTGTAGAGTTGGATGAACACATCAGGCCAAGCAGCATCAGAGGAGCAGGAAAGCTGACGTTTCGGGTCTAGACCCTTCCCTTATGTTTTTGATGGAGGTTTGACATCGGAACTGACAGCAAGACTCCTAAGACCACCAGGAATCATGGTAGCCCATAAGCCCACAGCCACTCTATGGCAAATACTCACAAAGATTAAAGAACCCATTCCCCCAACATGCAGAATCCACGTGGTTTACAAAATGCCATGCAACGACTGCCACAAACATTACATCGGACAGACAAGAAGGAAACTAGCCATCAGAATACATGAACATCAGCTAGCAGTAAAACGGCACGATGAACTCTTCTTAATATCAGACAGTGAAAGCCATCAGTTCAACTGGGACAAGGAAACCATAGTAGCCCAAGCCAAACGTAGACACACACGGGAATTCCTAGAGGCATGGTTCTCCACCCGTAATGCAATCAAACATGTAGAATTAGACCCCATATACAAACCCATACAGATCAAAACCGGAAATGACACTACTCACCTTAACAGACCAGACAGTACAAATTCCAAGCGGAGTAGAATAACATCGCTTCATTGGAGGCTCCACTGATGATGTCACCTAGCGTGGTGACGAAACACCTGAACGAGAACAAGCTAGCTCAGCAAGCAAGCCAACAACCTTATGGGCTTAGAATAGATGCTTGATGACTGGCATAGACACAGTGGGCCAAAAGGCCTTCAATACTGTAGTAACTCTGGCTGTAAAATCCTGAGATCCTTTATCTGAGTTTTTATTTTGCATGTGGAAATCTAAAGCTCAATGTGTCAATTCACGTAGTGTTAGTAATTGTAAAGGAGGCCATTCTGTTTGTACTGAGGTTTGCCTTGATGCTCAAGTCTAGCCTTTTTTCCACAGCCCTGCCACACTTTTTTTTCTATTTCACTAAATCACCTGTGTCCTCTTGAGTGTCTCCATTGAAGGGGCCTCTTGTGTTGCAGTGGTAGTGGTAATGTCCCTATACCAGAGCGGAGAGGTCCAGGTTCAAGTCCCACCTGCTCCAGAGTGTGTAATAACATCTCTGAACAGGTTAATTAGAAAAATAGGTTGAATTAAAACTTGTTTGTTTGTTTTGATTTGAAATTGCCTCCAGCATGCTTTCAGGTAGTGCATTCCAGACCCAAATCACA